CGCCCTTTTTTACTCACCTGGCAGGGCCCTGGGTTGGAGCTCTCCAAGTACTGATTACTGGAGGCCCTACTGCTTGGCGAGGGCGCATTGGGAGCTCAGGCCAGAAAATAACCTGCTTCTCTCCTTCTCTCTTCTTTTCCTCAGATTATCATCGCCAAAAAGAGAGGACTGTGCACTAGAGGGTTGCAGCCTATGGCCCTCCACGTGGGAACTTCTAGGACTAGCTGGCCAGGCCTCAGGGGAGCCGCGTTAGAAACTCTGCTCTCAGAGTCCCCTCGGCATAGTGGAGTGGGGAGGCCGGGCAGACACTGAGGCCGTGCACTGAGCCAGCTGGCCAGCTGCATCCCCCCCAGACCGCTGCACTGGCAGTTCCCTCGTTTTCTCGGTGAGCCTCGTTCCCTGCAGGGAGAAGGTGGTGATGGCGGGTGGAGCCTAGCCCACAGAGAGCCCTGCTAGCAGAGGCTGCTGACCTGTGTAGATACCGTGTGCTAAGTAGACGCATATGTCATCTTGTTTTTATTAGCGCATAGAAACAGTCTTGGGGAGCTTCCATCTAATCCGCCTGGCTCTCTCATCCCATCCTTATCGTACCCATGTCATACCCTTGGGAGACTCCGGTGGGGCCTTGTTTTTCCTCTCTGCCTTCCTCCTCTTCTGTCTCTTGAAAAGTAAAATGTGATGCTGAAGAAACGGTGGTGTGACTTCTGGATGATACCGATTGGGCGTAAGATGCTACTGAGGTCAAAGGAAAAGCTCTCCCGAAGAACGGAGCCCCTGGAAGTAACAGCAAACTACGTGCTTCAGAATTGTCTCCGTCTGCCCAGAACGGCAGGGAGGCCCAGGAGCCCTAGCTATAGTATCACAGGAGCGGTAGAGGTGGGGGGTGGGGAACTGGAGGGAACGATGCCCCTTCCCCCAAGATCTCTGATGTTTCTCTGCACCGTGCAGTATTAATATAGTCCGTCTTTCCCGAGTTCTTTGATTTGGAACGTAAACTAAGGGAGGGGCTTACATCGTTTCTCTCAGGGACAGCAGTAAAAAATTGATTGCCAATTTCCAACTTGTAGCTTGAGTACTACTGACATCTGATCGCGCCCTTTGCTTCGCCCCAGCCCCCAAGTAATTTGCTCTGTTCTAAGTTCCGTAGTTACCAATCCATTGTTGGAGGTTCCAGGCCACACCTTATGCCATCTGCATCGCCATGTTCAAAATCCCCTTCAGAATAGAAAGTTTTCTAATGGGGTATGGAGTGAAGTGCCCCCCATAATGAAAGTCCCAAATTTTCCTGGAAAGAATCCCAGGAAGCTTAAATATATATATTTCCAGGCTCGTCCCCTGGAGAGTGATTCTGTTGGTCTGAGGTGGAGCTTGGAAATAAGGTGAATAAGCCTTCAAATATGGGAAACCATTCTAAATAGTAGTAATTTATCTATGGGGAAGTTCTGGCTCTTCCCATAAAACGCACCCACTACTATGGTACCTCTTCTAGAGGCTTGGTGCCATTGTTGGGGTGGCAACATGCTGGTATGCAGAGCTGGGGATAGGAGTCGTTTAACTGTCTGCTTCCTGGGCGGGCCCCTCCGAAGTCTGCGCTCCGGCTGCTCTGCTGCCTCCCAGTGGCCATCTGAGGAACTGGAGGCCAAGACACGCGCACATAGGCGTCTGGGCTGAGTCTACTGACCTTTGAACTCCAAGACTCTCCCTGCGGTTAACAGGCTTTAAAATGAGTCATCTCAGAGGTGTGGTAAATGGCAGAGAGTCCCAGCCCTAAGGTAAAACCCCTCCTGCCCTGAATTGGTTCCCGCTTTGCAATACTTGTGATGGCTCTGGGTTGGGGCACCAGCGTGGAGGTATAGGTATGGTGTGGACAAGGCACAAGCCGTGACAGGCTGAGGCGAAAGGACCAGTGGTTTATTGAGGGTGTAGGTAAGAAAATGAGAGTGAACTGTATCGGCTCTCGGGGTGTCCCAGCTGCTGTAGAACCGCATCCCCTGTAGATGTCTCAGCAGTCAGAAGGGAACAAGGGATTCCTGGGTCCCGCAAGAATTCTACCCAAGAGCTGTGAGATGCAGCCAAGAAATGATGGCACTTTCACGGGTCCCGTTTTATGCCTAAGCCCAGGAATTGGACAAGAACTTAGTAAGTGGCCCAAGTAGTTAAACCATTAATCTGACGGGGGTGGGGGTGGGGAGGACTGGTACTGGGAAGCCCAGATGCAATAAATTCATCAAGTTAGGCAGACAGCCTATGCTATGGACAGGAACAATGGCTTTTGATGCCTGACTCATTGTGGGGGGTGGGGACTCTTGGATTTCGACCACTGAGGTGTCATAAGGTAATAGGCGGCCGGGGTCAACTCTCAATTCCCAAGGGCGGTTCCTAGGAGACACAGAAGAGGAATTCTGATCTTATGACCCCTTTCACCTAAAGGCAAACCGGGGACCTGCTTTGGGCTGAAGTTAGTCCCACCGTCTCTTAAATATCAGGCAGGAAAATTGGCCTGGCCATCAAACTCAGCCAGAGAAGTTTGCCTCCTCTGCTTGGACAGTCCCTGCTCCAGCACAGCTGGGGGAAAGGATATTGCTCTTCCTTCGGTGGACATGGGCTACTTCCGGATGGAACGGCAGAAGCCATGCACCGGAATAGCTGCGCGTGCGTGTGTTTGAGATGGAGGGAGAGAGAATGGTGTGATGTGCAAAAGAAAAAAAAAGGACGTCAGGTTCAGAGACATGATTCTGGGCCTTTGCACTGCATGATGAGGACACGAACCTTAGCCCCACCGCAACAAGCCAAGTTCATCCAAAAGAATAAGCAGTGCTGGGTGGCTACAGTACGCCATGCGAAGTAGCATAAGAGATGGTTATTAGATTTTCATGTTGTAGCTCGTATTGGCACAGGTATCGATAAACATTACATTGAGGTGTCTGGATTTTTCTTTGCCACTCTTCTGCAGAGACTGGACCAATGACAAATGATGTAAGGGACCAGCTAGTGCTAAGACCCCTTCTGATCCCTGACACTGGTAACTCTCCCCAAGTAAACAGTGAGCTGTAGGTATTGCAGAAAAAGTCGTCGTTATGCCTTACCTTCTGTTGTTCAGCTCAGTCCTGTCACCCAACATGACTACGTCATCACCTCTTTCTGCCAGAACATTATCTACCCACTTACTGTCTCCTTGAAAGAATCGATGTGTATAACAGAATGTGTGGCAGAGCGTTGAGATTCAGGAGACGTTTAGAGGGAATAATGTTCCTGTCCCTCCTCTGTACTAGTCTTATCAACCTCCCTATTGCTCCCTTCAATCCCTTTTTCAAATGAAACATGGCTTAACACCCCCTTGTGATGTCATAGACAACCATGGCGATGTAGTTGTGAGCGTAGCTAGGAATCAGGCTGTAAAAGCGCCCCTGGCCAGCTGTGTCCTGTAGCTGCAGTTCAGTCTGCACAGAGAGAAGGGAAACTAGCCTTTTAAAGGCTACAACTTAATAAAGGCAAAGTAGAGGGTTGAGGAAACTGGGCCCCTGAAAATGGCGACTATGGCCACAAACCAAGTGGCCTATGATCCTAGGACAGGTCGAATCTCAATGTACTGTTTTGATTAAGGAAGACCCTATAGAGCAGCGGACTTAAGGACTCGGGGCCTGTTGGATGGTGTCTGTGTCACAGCTGGAGTTTAGATGCGGGCAGAGGGAACAAGAAACAGGGCTGGTAGTTTAGAAAGGCTTCCCGTTTTTCTTCCCCTTTATCCACAAATAATCTGGGGCGGTGCTCCCGTTCCGTGGTGAATAGGCGGAAGGGGCCGAGGTGTGGGCTCAGTCATATGAGAGTGAACACTCAGTCTTCAGTCTTCCAAGTGCATGATCGTGGACGGGAAGTCAATGCCAATGGGCGCCTGCAAACCAGAGGTACTCACTCTACCCGTCCTCTCCGCCACCCCACCCCCTCGCCCTGTACCAGGCGGCCTTAGAAACCAGAAGGGGAGAATGGTCCCCGAGGTTGTCCTGGCTCAACTTTTCAACGCTGACAGCAGATAACTTTGAGGAACAGAATCCCTGAGTGAGTCCGCCAAGGGAGGTGGCTGCGTCGGTGGCGGGCGCACCGGCTGATGCCGGCAAAGCTGTGGACGGGAAGCGGGCGCCGCTTGGCACCTCTCCCAGTGCGAGGCACGTAAGCAAGCCCTCCGTCCCCCTGGGCGAGGAGGAATCGATTCTCCTGGAGAACGGCCACTGCATTGCTCACTGTCCCACCTCCGTATCCCCGAAGCCCGACCCAGCCCCCTAGGAACACGAGTTTGGTTTGCACACAGGCCGGTGCCGGGGGCCCCCGACGGTTTCCAGGCTGAAGCCTCGGTCCTCACCGTGGGCCTCACCGGCGTGCGGAGGCAGACATCGCTGCTCGCTGCCTGAGGTCACAGGGCGCTCTCTGTCCAGCCGCCACTCAAGCCCCCTTCGGCGTCGCCCCTAGGCCTGGGCGTGCAGCCATGCCCCCTGGCCCGCCGCTCCCGAGGTGGGGACGAAGGTGGCCAGGACCCGGAGGGAGAGTTGAGGGACACACGGAGGGCGGGCGGCGTGCGGGAGGGAAGTCGGGGGTCGTTTAGGAGAAAAGCAGGCTCATCTAATGACTGCCGGGGGAATGGGGGTGCTCGTTCTCGATAGTTCCATCACCCTCCCGGAGGAGGAAATACCAAAGAGGTCGCCAGGCTCGTCGGGACAAGCGGGTTTATTGGAGCGTTACGGGGGACCCCCACACAGACGCGCCAGAGCCAGGGGCTCAGTTCCCTTCGTCCCCCTCGGCCGCCGGCGCCTCCTGGGCGTCCTCCGCGCCCGGCTCCTGCCGCGTGAACTCCTCGATGACTATGTCCTCGGAGCTTGCAGAGGCAGCAAGGGGAATGGCGGCTTAGGAACATCCTCCAGGTCACTCCTCTTCCTGATCCCAGCCAAGTGCTCCCTTCCCCCCGCTTCCCAGCTCGATGGCCAGCGCCCCTCGGTAGCTCCCCACTCCCGCACCGCCGGGTCCCCATCGCTCGCTCCCTCCCCAGGCTCCTAACACGAAGGTCCCCCTGAGCCCTGGGGGAGAAATAAGAACGCAGGGAGGGATGGACGGAAGGGCTCGGAATAAGAGAGAGGGAAGTCAGGGCGAGGGGGGTGGGGAAAAGGAAAAAAAAATGGGGGTGCGGTTCCGAGAGGAGCGGAGGGTGCATGGCGGCTGCAAAGCGCTGAGCTGTGACGGAAGCTGAAGCCAACATCTCCACCGCACACGTGTCGAAAGCGACAGTCCAGGGAAGCGCTTTAACGTTCCCGTTGTCTAACGATGGAGGGTGGCCATCGGGGTGGGGGTGGGGGGGTCCAAGCCTCACATTTCCTTACCTGGCAGCCTCTGTAGCAAGCATGCAGAGGGAGGGAAGATGGGGGCGAAGCTGGAAGGGGCTCTTCAGTTTCTGAAGCGCTGTCTCGTGACTTTAACCCCTGCCTTTTTAACCCTCTCCCTTCTCCCCGCCCCCCCAACACACGGTCTCTTTCCCCTGAAAACCCGGACTCCCAATCTGCGTCTTGCTATTCAGTCTCTACCTAAATTGCCAGAACCGATTCTTGAGATCAGAACTGCTTGGTCCCCAAGCCACAGGACCACTGTTCCCGTGAGTCCCTCCTGGTCACTTACCATGAGATGGCTTCGGATGCATCAGGATCAGGGGCAGCTCCACACCAACATCGCTGCAAAGGTCCCAAGGCAGTTACCCATGTCCCTCCAAGGCCACTCTTTGAACCCCTCTCTCTGTTTTCCGGTCCTGGGATGGCCTCAGGATCCCCGTCACTTTAAATCCCCTTAGCTCTGCATCCTCTCCTCCTGTCCCAGTCCCAGCGTCCCCACAGTCTCTTACCTGGCTGTCAAGTCACCTAGGATGCTGAGGGTAGAATGACACCCTAAAATTAGCAGCTGGAAATGCAAAGTGGCAAGCTAATTCAATGGGGGATGAGGGATTCATAAAGCTAACTTAGCCACACAGTGGGTTTCTGGAAGGGAAGGCGGCTTGCTCACTGAGCCCACAAGGAACCCAGTCTGGGAGGAGACGTGAGAACAGCTTGTTGGGATCAGTTTAACTGGGAGGAAAACCGAAGTGAGAAACCCCCCAGCTCCCCAGCCCCTGATCACACAGACCCTGAACCCTCACTCACCCTCCACTGGACGCCATCAGATTGACTCTGACTTTGTAGGACACCAGGATCCCCAGCAGCTCCTTGGTCATTCCAGGTCGAAGGCTGGAGGTGGCGGTATTCATTGTTGGAGGGGGAGGACAGGGCGGAGGAACTCGTTAAGTCCCCCAGTCTCTCCCTGTGTACCTTTTGTCTTCCAACGGGTCTCTCAGGTTCTACTCCTACTCATTGGGACCATATTTCTGTTCCCAAAATGCAGTTTTACCATGTCACTGTCTGCTTCAAGAGCCTACCTCTCTGAATGCCACTCCTCTGTTTGGCTTTTGTGACCCCTAACAATCTGGCCTCACCCAGCCTCTCTAACCCTCTCTGCCCTAACTCCCTGACACCCAGAATCCAACCTAATCGGACCCATCCTCTCATGCTCAAAATGTGCCATGCAGATTCCTACGTCTAGCCTTTCCTCATGCCTTGCTCTCAATTTAGAATGTTCTTTTATTCCTCCATTGCTACCCAGATTCTACACATTCTTCAAAATCTAGCTCATTCTATCTCCTCCAGGAAATCCTCTCCGACTATGCCGGCTTCTTTGAACTTCTATTGGATTTATAAGATTGTATTCTCATTCTTCTTTATTCTCCATGTAGGCCAGAAATCGACTGAAGGCAGAGATTGTCTTAAACTTCTTAAACATAGCTTAGCATAGGAATGAGTATGTAACAGGTGCTTAATAAAAAAAAAAACGATTAAAAAATAAGACACAGAAAGCTGCATATTCTTGGGACAGTCTCTTCATTGCTCTGGGATGCTGATCCTCTATCTATAAAATAATGCCGTTCGGATGATTTCAAAGGGTCTTTCTAGCAATAACAGTCTATAGCTACATGATCGATAAGGCGTGAGGAGAGGTGGGGGAATTAACGCTTGTCGGATGGCGGCAGGTGGCCTTCGTGGGAGACACATCTAACACTAGGGCCAAATGAATAACCCGATAGAATTCTATCACTTCCTATCATATCCTTCTGTTTTTCCGTCCTTTCTCTTCACTTCTCATGTCTGAATCTTCCATCCATTTCTATCTTCCCTAGAGAGTAGCTGCTGTAAAGATCACAGTGTTAGAGCCAGATGACACGTGATAGAATCCTCTTTGCTTCTGCCGCTTATTACCTATGCAAACTCGGACAAAGTTCTTCATCTCTTTCAGCCTCGGGGTCCTTAAGTTGAAATGGACTAAGAATGCCCACACAGCCTACAACACAGAAGATTTTTCTCTCTACTTTTTCCTTTCTTGCTGCCTAAGACCTAAACCTGTCATTGGTCTCATGGGCATTATTTAGCTTACTGTTGGCTCTTGGGCCTGGAGGGATCTCTGAACACTGACCTAGAGACGTTCATAGAAGGTGAAACCTCACAACTGTATATATGGCATATGGAATGGATTGAGGATCGAAAATGGAGGTTGGGAGTTCCTTCTGAGCTTACATCGTGCTAGAGGCCAGATTGGTATCACCATGCTTGAGTTTGCCATCCAGTGCCAGGCCCCGTTTCTGGCTGCTGGCATCCAGGAGTGGGGTTACTGCAAAGCTCTTGGAGATGCTGGAGTTAGCAGCTATAGTCTCCCTTTGAAAGAAGAAGAGAAAAATTTAGGCTAGGCTTGCGAAGTAAGGGTAATTTCATTCCTAAGAGTATCTTGCACTAAGAGTACCTGGAAGAGCTGGCACGTCTAAGTGTGGGGAATGGGAACGATTTGCTCTGATGGGAAACCCTTAGGCCCCGACCCTCTCTCAGCATTTTGATGATCATCTTGTGGGCATCCAACCTCTAGTTCTGGGATTCCTTCCATTTATCCATATCAGCCTTCACCTTGACTTTTCTCAGTCCTGGACTCTTAACCACTTCCTCCTTAACCCAGCCCTCTCCTCTGCCTCCAGCCCCAGCCCTCTTGCCACCACCCCAGCCCTTGTCTCTCTGACCCAGGTCCCAGCGCCAGCTCACGTGAACTCCTGCATGAACACAGTCTTGGTGTACTTGTCTAGTGAATACAGGACAACATCTGTGATCTGGTCAACTGAACAGCCAGGAAAAACACATGACTATAATTAGTCAGTGCCCCCTGAGACCCCGACTCGCTGCCCTCAGATGTGACCTTATACGTGGCCACGCTATGCATGGTGCACTAGGATGTGCTCACAGACAAACAGAGATAAATGTTTCGATAAGCCTGAATTGGAGGGAAAGACTAAATGAATGCGGATCGGCTAAATGGGACAGAGTTTTGGAAAAAGGCCTGTGGATGCGGGCCCAGGTGCAGGGGGATAGGAAAAGAAGCTCGCCTGAAATCTTGATTTTCTTGATGACCTTGTTGGTGCAGTTATTGATAGAAACATTGACCGAGATGGGCTTGCCATGGTAATGAACCTGGAGCGGGAGGAGAGGCCCATCACAAGGTTGGAGGGAAAACACCAAGCTCGAGACCCAGCGTTCCTGTTTCCTTAGCGCCGTCTCCACCCTAACTTCCATCCCTGTCTACTCAAGTAGGAAATCAGTGAAGAAAGGGGTTCGGAGGGGTTATGGGGTATGGGGCAGGAAGTGAGTGCCACGCACCTCCGTCTCCATCCAGGCCTGGAGTTGTAGGGGCTGAGCCGACAGAAGGAAGCGGCGAGTGGTCTGGGCCCAGGGGCCAGGGCCTGGCTCCGGGGGTGCAAATTGCACTTTTCGAATGACCAGCCGCACAGAGTCTCTGAGCAGAGGCCAAGGGGTTAGCCAGAATGTCCCCTTTGGGACCCACAGACCTTTCCCATGCCAGCCCCATAGCCCAGTCCTTGCATGGGGGGGAGGTGGGCGAAGACCTCCCTCGGACAGAGAACTCCTCTAGACCTTCAGTGTCGGTATCTAGACCACAGGTCAGCCAACTATGGCTCACTGGCCAGATCTGGCCTGCTGCCTGGTTTTTATGGCCCACAAGCTAGGAATGGTTATTACGTTTTTCAATGGTTGAAAAAAATCAAAGACTAATATTTCACACTATGTGGAAATTATAGCAAATTCACATTTCAGTGTCCAAAAATGAATTTGTACTGGAACACAGCCACGCTCACTCATCTACGGGCCATCTCTGCCTGTTTTCACACCACAGTGGCAAAGACTACATGGCCCACACAGCCTAAATATCTAGTTTTTGGCCCTTTGCAGAAGAGTTCACCGACCCTGGCCCGAGAGCAAAGAAGAGAATTCAGAGAGGAATCAGAACCGGGCATCCGAGTTGGTGGTGCTGGGGTTCCGGAGATTAGAAACAGGGCTGTTTCTGTCCCGAGAGCAAGATCTGGAGTTTGGAGAGGACCAAAGAATACCTCTTGGGGACGCTGTCCTCCAGGTTGTCAGCACAGAAACCCTTCACTTCGAAGTCGACCCCGCAGGCCTGCAAAGGGGCAAAGGCGATGAAAACTCATTTCCAACACTGCACCTCCCTTTCTTATAGGCCTAGAATGAATGCCTGACCTCATCCCTTAGCTGTTCCTTTCTCAAGTCTTGTCCTTTTGTCCCTCTGTCGCTCCTCCCAGCACTGACCATCTATCTCGTTCTTAGAGCCCAGACCTCACCTTTCCTGTATCCTCAGGACCTGGATGCAGTGTCACTGAACAGGGCAGGTTGACAGCCATCTAGAGGATCAGAAGGAGGTTAGCAAACAAAAGAAACAGGTATCCTTTCGTCTCTTGTTCTTTAGCTTTCTCTCTCAATCTTGCCTGGAAACCTTGTCCAAGACTTGGGGTCAGTACCTGAAGGGTAAAGGGGTAGGCATTGTCCCCCAGCTTGTGCAGTAGGCGCTCCTGCAGGACTGTGAGAGACCTCTGGGGGCTGGTGGGCTCAGCTGGGATGACTTGCTGGACCTGTACATACAGATCTTTGCGAAACGTCAGCCCAATCACATCCAAGTCATCACGGCCATAGCGAAAGGCACATGTCAACATGACAAACACTGCGAGTAAAGGAGGAAGAAAAGTGTAAAGTAATTCTAGACATGGATGATGTTGATGCTAATGATGATGAGCATGGGACTATTGGCAGAAATAGAACAGTTATGATCGAACTCATACTTTGCAGCTAGTACCTAAGATTAGGGGTAAATTAAAAGCCGCCTCGATCTGCTCTACTCCCTAGTGGAGTATGGGATGGGGTACAGAGGGATACCTACCTGTCCAAGGACAGAGTGACAGAGATTGAGGGAAGGAAGGATGTAGAACATAGCTGGAGAATCTTATTTCTATCAGGAGCCCTGACCCCAAATATCGAACAGCCAAGTTATCTCCTTTTAAAATTAAGAACAAGGAAAGTGAATCTATATTCGAAAGATACTGCAAAGACTGAAAGTAATGAAAATGGTAGTGTTTCCAAGGACTGGAATAACGGGCAGCCTCACACACTGCAAGAAAGAGTTAATTGGCACAACCATTTTGGAGGGCAGTTTGGCAATATAAAGCTTTAAAAATGTGTGAATGCCCTTTGGCCATTCGTTCCTTTTCTAGGCATTTAGTCTAAAGAAATAATTGGACAAGTATGAAAGGATATATACAAGTATATACTTTACAGGGTTGTTTATAATAGCAAAAAGTGTTCAAGCATTGAAGATTGGCTGAATGCGTTATAGTTCACCCATACAATATAGAACTAGGCAACTTAAAAATGTATAGAATTTTCCTGTATTGCCATAGGTGAAAAGGATTAGAAAACATTGTTTATAATAGAACGTTTTAGAGAAAAATATACATATTTTTGGACAGAAAATGTGAATAAATATGAACTAAAATGTGACTGGCGATTATTGCTGGGTGTTAGGATTAGTCTCTTTCTTCTTCATTTGTATTTTCTAATATTTTCACAATGAAGACGAACAACAGTTTTCAAAAGAGACAACAAAGAAATTCACCCTGGTTCTCGATCACAGCCAATTAAAGTGGGAGAAGGGAGAGAGAAAGAAAGGAAAGAAGAGACAAAGGAAAAGATAAAGAGGTGAGGGTGTTAATCTGATGAATTGTTCTTAACACATCCTGCCGTCCCCGTTCCCGTGTGGGGAGTTCATCACCGCACCCCCCCCACAAGATCTTATTTGCTCTCTAGTGGTTTAGAAGCATCCTTTGTGCTATGATATACCTCGTTTTTATTTTTTTTAAAAAATTCAACAGTTATTCTAAAGTTATTAACTTATATTTGTGTTTATTATACAAATAATAAAGAGAGATCCCAGATAAATTTTTTTAAACAACACTTCATTAACACAACCACGTATACTGCCCCATAACTGGCCTTTAATAACGTAATGGTATAGCATAAGCATGTTTTACATCAAAAAATGCTCCTTGACAGAAAAAAAAATATTAGAGAATATGATGCAAATAATATATTCATAAAAGTAACAAAACAAAATGGCTAAGGAATGAACTTTAGAAATGTAAACAACTTAAGTGAATAATATCAGACTCTACTAAGGCACATAAACAAGATTAGAATAAAAGAGGAACAAAAACGCATCTTATTCCTGCATCGACATGCCTTTTTTAAACTAAAGATTTCTTTCTGTAGGTTATTCTGAAGAATTTGCAGGCACGTGAAAAAGTGATTTAGGTTTTAGAAATAGTGATTGAGAATCTTAAATAAGTCGGTTAAGTTACTGACTCTACCCCAAAATTTCCCTGATATTTAAAACTCGCTGGGCTGCTTATCCATACTGCTTAATCTGAGAGATTAAACCTATTTTTTCCACGATATCGAAAAGTTCCACCTGAACTAGTGTTCATCAATTTGTTCTAAGCTTTTTTTCAAATCAAACCCAATTTTCAATTGAGTCGGATCACAGAATAAGAGTTAAAAGAAAAAAAAGCAATGAAAAAATATTTCAAAGTAATCTTGATTTCTAATACCGTGACCAGAGTAATGTTTCTTACTGTTTCTTGCTGTACTTATCGTTTTATTTGTTGCTTTGCTTGAGATTTTTTTTTTAATGGTAAAGATAA